GGTTGTTGTTTTGCATAGGACGGCTAAGAAATGTACAAAGTTTCAAAATGCATGTGCTGACCTATTGTTCTGCCAATTAGATCTCTTGTTTTTCCATGTCCTCGTTGCCATCACCGTCTTGGTTGCTTAAGGTCCCTATTATTGTAGAACTAATATCAACCAGTTTACAATCTTGCACCACTGTCCAAAGGTGAAAATTCTCTACCCTGTGATCTTATCCTATCCCAAAGATTCTCCATCTTTAAGACTGCTTGAAAATTTAAACTCTCCTGTTTGTAGTTAAACTATTCAATCTTGTACATTATGTGAGGAACCCGGGTTTATAAGCTTCTAGCTTCCATTGGGTTTCCTTACCACATTCTTTATAGAGGACTATAAATTGTAAAGTTATCAAGTTTGATTATAATTGTTGTAAAGAATATTAATAAAGTTTTGTTTTACATTGCTGTAGACAACTGTTATTTAATTGTTGTGTGAGTGTATTTGGCAAAATAAATAAATAATTTTAATTAAAAATAAATAATGCAATGTTTCATATACCTTCTTTCTTTAAGTTGTCTACAAGTTTTTGTCTCATGGAAATTATTCTGTCTGCCATCCCTTTAACTTCAACCTCCCATTGTGGTCTCAGTTCAGGGTCACTGAGGACAGCACCTGCTATGCGAGCACCATGGATTGGAGGGTTGGAGTAAAGAGGGCGGATAAGAATCTTGATCTGGGAAAGGACTCGCTCTGCCTCCTCTTTGGATTCACAAGTGGCTGTAATCATGCCAACTCTCTCACCTTGAGTAGGACAACAACAACAACAAAAAAAACCAAATAACTGAGTACAACACAGCAATTTACAATTGAGTGTCAAATTAAAGTAATCCAGGTTTACTTTGGCTTTGCATTACCTTGCTCTGGTGAATGAATGAATGAATTCCTTATTTATATTGTGCCCTTTCCATACAATATTCAAAGGTGCAGTACCCCCCATCAATTTGATAGACACTACACAAAGATAGACCACAACACCGGGCACTACGTGCCCTACTCTTTTTGAACAGTGTGTGGGTTCTTTAACCTCCCACAAATTTTTTTATCACATACAGGGGCTTGTGAGACGGGACCTCCATTTATCATCCCTGTCTGAGAAGACTAGAAAGTCTAACAATTTGCAGATATTATTACAAAGGCAGCACTTTCTTCTCATGTATTTAAAGACCCTGAGTGTTGGTCCGGCTGGATTTGAACTCACGACCTCCCGCACAACAGTCCAGCACTCTATCAATTGAGCTAACCGGGAGGTGGTGATAATTGGAGAAAACTTGCACCATTTTCTAAGCCCAGAAATCAGTCAATGAAAGACCTCTAACCATTTTCTCAAACCTCAGCCTCATTTTCCATACTTTTTCCAGACCGAAAAATTACTTTTCAAGTTTCCATACTTTGTTTATGATTGGAGTTACTGTAACATCTCTATGGAAGTCTCTCTGTTTTTTACTGGACTATTCTTTGATCATCAAACGACACGGTGAGCAAAAACAAAAGGGGACTTGTAAACCTACCATAGAGACCCATGTTCTTGGCAAATGACTGAGCTACCAGCACTTTATGTCCTTCCTTTATAAAGTATCTGAGAGCCCATGCATCTTTGTCAGTGTCTCCACTAGCAAAACCTTGGTACGCCATGTCAAAATAAGGAAATAGTTTGCCTTTCTGGAGAAGACATTAAAAAAAAAACAAAACAAAAACATTGATAACATCAAGAATATATATTACCTAAACTTTCCTAATTAAAGTAAATTACAAGACTTGATGCATAAATTATTTGCCAATTCATGCCAAATGTTTTGAAAAGTAAATACCTTTATGACTTCTGATAACTCTTTCCATTCCTCTTCCTGAAAAAAGTGAGAAAGAATCACAGCCTTGCCCTTTCCTTCTCAAAATCTACAGCATAGTTTTCTGGAAAAGTCCTCTTCACCATTTTGTGGTTCATGCTGACAAAAGAAATAATGCTACAAGGATCTAATATTTTTGCCATATTCTGCTCTGGAAACATAACATTATCAAGGAGGGAAATGCATAAGTTTCAAATTGTCTTAATTGCCAAGTTATACAGAGGGGAATTCTATAGGTGAATTTCTTGCTTGGTTGGAAAGTGATGAATACAACTGCGAATGCAACAAACCTGCAAAATTCTCATGCTACAAAGCAGGGTATCCAGTCAATCTGCCACCACAACAAACTCACCACTACAAAACTTGTACAGTTTGCAAACAAGAGCGATATTCGCTGTGAGATTTTTACTAAATGATTTCCACCAATATGAGTGATATTGTATGAAATTTACATAAATTATATAAATGCTAAGAGGTTGAATTATATTAAGTATATGAAATTGAAAGTGCGTACAAATTTGCAAAGTTTACTCAAACAGACTTTGGCATCCTCTCTTTGTTTGATAAACCCGCCACCTGTGGCAATTTGACTTTGAGTGATGGCGAGTTTTGTGGTGGCGAGTTTCCTGTGGTGATAAATTGACCATAAACCCAAAGTAGTGTGTAGTACATCATAGTTCAGATATGTAAGACTCTGTCAGCTTAACAATTGTCAGTGACTAATTCAGGGCTAGAGACTATTCAAAGCATGTCACAGCCCTGAAGTTTTGAAAAAAAATTTTTTCTTAAATTACCTTTGGATCCACTCCTGTCGGATTGTGAGCACATGCATGCAACATGACCACTGAATTTTCTGGAATTTTCTACAAAGCAGAAATCAGTGATATAAACAAGTAAACAAGTAAAATGTTTTTGTATTTTAAGTGCAACATTCTTCAACTCACTGCGATATCTTCTATACAGCCTTTGAAGTCAAAACCACAAGTTTGTGGATCATAGTAACAGTATTGTTTCACTCCCAGTCCTGAGTGTCTGTATATCAGAGTAATAGAAATATTGATGTTATTGAGGGTGTGCTAGAAAAAAATAAGAAAAATTATTTACCTTCTGCCAATATCACAAATCAGTTATTAGGATTTCATTAGCCTGAAAGTTTTATAATTTAAACTGGTATTGTTATTATATGTATAATGTTTATTCTTAATTTAAGTATTTACTTTTAATCATATTTGATAAATTATAAGAAATGTTCCCGCAAATGTAATGCACACACGTTTCACCCTCATAACCACTCAGTTAAATCCATCATTCTTAAAAACTTTAAATTACTTCAAAACAATCCAGAGACAAGCACTATCTTTTTGCAGCCTCCACTCATTTCATTCAAACGTGACAAAAACATAGGCAATTTTTTGGTCAGAAGTTCTTTTCAGACTAATGACCAACCAGGCACTTTTAAATGCACTCCTGCACGATGCAAAATGTGACCTTTCATTCACAACACTGAGAAAATATCGGGACCCAAACGATCCATTAATATCACCGATCACTTCCCGTGCACCTCCGCCAATGCAATCTATTGCATAACTTGCACTTACTGCAAAAAGATTTACATCGGCAAAACAGGCAGAAGACTAGGTGACTGATTCCGAGAACACCTTTGCGACGTGGAGAGGAATGACAAGGACACATCGAAACTAGTCGCAAGACATTTTAATTTACCTAACTATTCTAAGCAACACATGGCAATCTGCGGTCTTTCCTTACACTTAGGTACTAAGGAAAGCTGGAAAACTCTTGAACAAAAGCTCATCTTTCAAACCTGCAGTCTAAATCCCACAGGTATCAACCAACGCTTTTCATTCCACTAATTTATTCATGTTTTTCTCGTTGCCATGTTCCCACCAATCACGTAGCTCCTTTTTCTGCCTTTAAAAGCACACACAACCCACAATTCCCCTATTCGCTCCAATGAAGGGCTAACACTCGAAACGTCAGCTTTTATAATCGTAACGGTGGCCAATTTACCATTTCAACTTTGTTGATATATTCAAATTATAATGCACATAAGGTCTGTGCAAGACAACTTGAATGTTTTGTCATAACTATCAGTAAATTGGCATCAAAATTTTAGTGGAACATCCTCTTAATTGATCAACTGACTCTGGTAAACAGCACTAAGAAATTATATTTTCCAAGTATGCTTGTATTGCTTAATATGTACATTTACAAGCTTAATTTTCTATGATCACATGATCTGTCTCTTAACAGTTAAAGAATAATATAAATGATTGAGATTTTAATCCACAATTGTATTTGAACTGTGTCCAAAGTTGTTTGTACTTACTTAAGGATTGGAGTGTGGTTTCCCCAGGATGGTGTTGGTAACCAGACATCCTTACTTCCTGGGAAAAAGTTTTTCTAAAAGGGAAACATTCACGATGGAATCAAAACTGAAGTTTGAAATCAAATTCTTATGTGCACAAGTCAAGTGCACATTGAACACTTACTGTACAATACATATTAATTTTGCTAGTAAAAGAAAAGAAATTGATGTCACAAACCAGAAATGCTGTTCCAATCCTAAGAGCTCCAGTACCTGAGATTGCTTGAGCAGATGCATTCTGGTAAAACAAAACAAAACAAAACAAAACAAGAATCAACAAACACATTATAAAAACAATCACAACACTCAAGGACATGACAATAATCACCGTGACTGTGACATGGTAAAACCAACTAAAAAGATAAATGAATATATAAATGACAAAGAAATAAATTATATCTTCCAGCAAGCAATACATACCAGGCTATTTTTGATTACTTCACTATCTTCTCCAAAGGCTAGTTTGGCAGCAGCCCCAGTGAATTCTGGTAGGCCATGAATAGGACCATATTCTTTGTCTTGCTTTTTAGCTACCATTGACTCTTCAGCCTGCATATTAAATAACGTAATTTGAATAATACAACACTGTCCAATAATAAACTGCTAGTTTCCTACGACAGGTGAACCTCCTATAAGTGACACCTGAAATGTCACACCTAAATGGTCAATTACAAGAGGTGATCACCTATCAGAGGTCAAGCCTCAGGGGGGCTATATTTTGGGTAATTTGCATGTGATTGCACCGATTTTCCGTGAAGTTGTTACCAATGGGAGGTTAAAAATGATTGCTTATTGTAAACATGCATCTGTAAAAGCGGTTGCTTATGAGACATGGTTGCTTTTGAGAGGAGATTGCTTATAAGATGTTTCAGTTATAGTAATTTGAGCTGGAAACTGTTGGTATTGTGAAAAAGTGTTTGCTAATGAGCAGAGGTCACCAAGGGAGGTTCAACTGTTTTATTTCTTTTAAGAGATAACAATTGTGTATAAGTAACTTCTGAGGGTAACAAGATTGATACTTGCCTTTCTCACTGAAGGCAGAACATAAGGTTTTCCTGAATCATCTCTATAAGCTCCAACACCAAGATTGATTTTTTGGGGGTTTGTATCTTTTTTGAAAGCTTCTGTTATTCCAAGAATGGCATCTGGGGGACCAAGCTCTACTTGTGACCACCATGAGCTGAAAACAGAAAACATATTTCTCTTTTATCTCTTTCAAATATAATCCTGCTGTTTTCTCTTCTAATGATGACAGATCTTCTCCTTTCCCATTTTTTCCCTGAAACATCTGGGAATTATTGTCAAGGTTTCCAACACATCAGGGTTGAAAGGTTTTATGTCAAGTGCACAACTGGTGCACACCAAAGACATGAAAGGTGTCGTAGACTCTATGAACGAAGTTTAGCAACTCAAGGGGAGGCATGCAAGGCAGCAGTATGGAAAGGGAGGGTAATGAGAACAAACTTGACTTTATAGAGGGGTGCAAGTCACCTCTAAGGCAGCCACCAATCACCTTCATTCAACACTGGTAGATGATAAATAAACCCTTTTAAGAGAAAAAATTTTAATGATATTGAGACTGACACAATAATTACAAATCTGTGACAGAAAGTTAAATCAGAAATGGGGTAAGGGTTCCATATAACCCCATACGTTAATTATGCATAGCGTGTTGCAAAGAAACCTTTATATTTTGTCTTAATGAGATGGAATGCATAATTAATGTATGGGGTTATATGGAACTCTTTCCCAGAAATGAACCCCTCCCAGTCAACCAGGGATCATTTAGACAATAGTGATCAGTCAACTGCCGACATAACAATTATTATATACATAAAAATCAACTTCGACATCAAATATTAAAATTCGATGCAAAATTCGTGGAAATGTTAATATCCAGCTAGCAGAAAAAAACCTATTATTACTAAACGACTACGGTTTCCTAATATATAAAAACGAGGAGGCTGAGGTACACCACTGCGTGCAACAGACTGTGGAATTGACAGCCTCGATCTGTGCCAAAATGGTGCATTAAATAAACAAAACGATGGTCACCAGGCATACCTTGATCTTGACGATGCTAGGAAGCAGATCTTTACAGGGTTGGATTTCAAAGAAAATTGGCCAACAGCCCGTGAAAAAGCCATAATTTGGAACAATTGATATTTGTTAGCTTTCTTGGAAACCTTTGCGTAGAACCTCATGCGCACGGCACGAGATAAGGAACCTGGAAACCAGTGCACTCTGGGATATCGTTATTCGCTGCGAAGAAGACGCCTTGATTTTTTCGTTCGTCTAAACCTTGAATAGCGAACAATCATCTTGGAACTGAATCTTAGAGCGTTTTAATCGTTTGATCGCTTTCTTATTATGGAGGATGTGGGGAAGTAAGTCAGTCTAGTATTTCTATAGCTATGGAATTGAGAAAACACAAAGTTATTTTTGAAATTTGGAGCGTACAGGCATTCTGCGCTATAACTTTGCTATCATCTACACCTGGCTTATATATTTAGTTACTGTTGTTCACCTGGATTTGAGGTATGGTTATCAAGTACCGAAAATTTACGTTTGTCTCTCAGAGAATCAGAAGACCATGTTCGTTTGAAAGAGATGCAAGGGACAGATTCTTTAAAATGGTTGTCAAAGAAGGTTTTCGAACAGACTGCTCGAAAACTGAAGAAAAAGCCCTCTCGAGCACGTTTGCACCTGGATTTGGAACAGGTTGTGTCTTCTTTGAAAGGTCAATCTACAAAAGATAATGTGAGTAGTGAAATTATTTTTTTCATATATTTCATTGTCTCGAAAGAACATATTTGATCGGGGATGTAAATGTAATTCCTTTAATTTCGTGATACGATTAGTGCTGCTAAATTGTTGTGGGTTTGATTCAAATGCTAAAAATGAAACTCAGCTCTCTTCGTCAGGAATGAGGGGAAAGGGGCCCTGAGTAGAAAATTTTGCATGTATGTCACTAAGGATAAAATGGCTGAATTAGATTTAAATGGCTGTTTTGTAATTGATGTTAATTTCAGGCTTAAATGCAGTAATTTCATTAAGTCTGATTGGTATTACTTTTGTTTACCAACCAGAGTAATGTGCCTTGTACAAAGATGAAAAAGTGAAATCAAGCTAGTTTTGAGAATCGTTTTCACTTGAAGTTGAATTAAATAGTGCACAACATTTCATGTCATTTCGTGTCCTGTCATTTCTGTTGAATATTTTTTAACCTCTTCAAATTGTGAATGTTTATTGCAGGTCTTGAGGCAGGATTCTTTAGCAAGTGCACCCAAAATGTGAGTTCTGTGCTTGCAGTCCCTCATAAGAATTTCAGAATTCCCTCGTAGCGTCACATACGAGTTTGTTTTTAGCTCATTTTCCTGCCTATACGAAGAATATGTTTTCACTCCCGTCCTCTTCCTATAATCTTGGTGGCAACTACATTCTTTCACTTAGTAAACCTAAAAGAACTACCTATGGTCTTAACTCCTTTTCTCACTTTTCAGCTAAGCAATGGAATGCACACTTTCGTACTAGTTTCTTGGTAGACTTAAAACCAAAATACAGGGTGTTGCCTTCATGTAGATTCTTTTTGCTTGACATACTTAAACTTAAGATTGACAATTTGTTAATAATATTTTCTTTTCTTTACCTTTGTGTTTATTATTATTATCATCATTAGTACCATTTTTTGCATATATATTTATATAATTATTACTTTTTATGTAGTCTCAGCTCAAAGATATTAGCTCATTAGCTACTCTAAAATTTGAGTATAAATAAAGTTTATGTATGCATGTATGTAGGTAAGATTCATTAAATGCAGGTTGTTGTATCTACATTTTATTGCTTACTGTAGATGTACATGTAAATGATGCAGCAGTTTTTCACATGAAAGAAATTCTCATATTTAGTCAAGAAGGATTTTAAAAGAATATGAGATGTATACTCTGTAGAGAGCTTTCTTTTTCTATTACTTTATTTTTGACAAGTATCTTAGTTTGTAATAATATTAATGATAGTACATGTAATCATTGCTATTATTTAATTACTGTTTTACAGAAAAATGATACGCAAGAGAATTCCAACTAAAATGACAAATGAGGAAGTTAAAAGATTTTACAACTTTGTCTTGAACAAGAGAGGTGGGATTAGAAAACTAAAACCAAAACTGAAAAACCAAGATGGAGGAATGGATGGTACAGCAGATCAGAGCTTGGAAGCTTCTTGTCGAACAACAGTTAGCTCAGCAGAGTGCACATCAACTGAATTACCAATGAGTAGAGTAACAGCAGGTTCTCAGTTGCCAGCGCCAGTATTGTTAAATGTTGATCCCCAAGGCAGTCCAATACAACTGCCTTTGATGACACCACAGCTTTTGCCATTGACTGGTGGTACACAGCCTGCTCTTGTGTTTTTCTTGGGGCCATCTAGTGTGGTTCCTTCAGGAGATTCTCCACTTGTTTCTCATGCAAATTCCAATGCACCTCTTGGAAATGCTGTGTTCTTCACTCAGCCGGTTACTTTGAACGTTGTTCCTCAAGATGCATCCTCAAGTGAAGGGGTAATAGAGAAAGCTATGGAACTGGCACAGTTTCAATCAAATCCTGTACAAAGTGATTCTCAGCAACCATCTCAGGACATTACAACAGAGTTGGTGATATCAGAGGGAAGTAGCTCTATTCCTTCCAATACAAATAATTCCAATTTACAAGGATCTTTCCCCATTGATCACGCATTTGGCTCTCTGCCCAATATTTCTCAGAATGTAGTAATAGCACAATCTGTTGCAGCTGGAGAAAGTGTACCCATTGAGAATGTGTCAGAGTCAGTAACTGTGAAAACCTCACAGATTATGCAAAATCAGGGATTGTTTGATTTGCGGTCTATTTTGGATGAAGCACGTGCAGAATTGGCAGATTCAGCAGATACCAGTACAGAGACTGTTGCAGGAAACTTTGCAGATGCTGCACCTAAACTGCTTTATAGGAAAAAAGGTTTACGAATCAGAGAAGTAATGACTCAGACAGGTGGCGAATCAGAGGTGTACATTGTCAGTGAAAGAAAACTGGATAGTGAGGAAGATGCACCTGGTGAAGGGCCACTAGAAATTGGAATTACAGACAATGATACAAAGAAACCAGGTTTGCTTTGTTATTATACCATGTAGTATAGAAATTTTACTGCACTTTGTTTGTGCAGAGTGGTGAAATTCTGAGTTTTTAGGGGAGATAAATTTTTTGGTTTAAGAGGAGTGAATTTTTCTGCTTGGAACTAAGTTTTTCAATTTTCCATGTAGGCAACAGAACAACTACAACATATCAAATAATAGGCAGGAAGCACACTTGTTCATGCACACTCTATGCTGAGNTGACGTTTCAAGTGTTAGCCCTTCGTCGGAGCAAATAGAGGAATTGTGGGTTGAGTGTGCTTTTAAAGGCAGAAAATGGAGCTACGTTATTGGTGGGAACATGGCAACGAGAAAAACACAAATAAATTAGTGGAATGAAAAGCGTTCATTGATCCCTGTGCGATTTAGACTGCCGGTTTGAAAGATGTTGGCAAATGTGACATAATAGTTCAGTTGTATTTACATGTACATTGGGGTTTCTTTGTTACTCTGATTAAATTAAGGCTACCAGGTATAAAAGCCAATAAAGAGACTGCAGATGCTAACTGTGTCTCATTTGGGGAGTCTCTATTTTCTTGATAGTCTCCGTAAATGTTAAGTTGGCACTTATTTTTGAGTGAAAATTTGCAACTGGGTTACAGGTCGCATACATTGTAATTGAAGTAATTAAAAATTTCATGATCAGATAAGGCTTCATAAAGTACAGTTGAGGAATTACACAAACCCTCAAAAGGCACTTCCGCAGCCATTTCTGTGCTCACTAACTATAATGCTTTTCTTTAGTCATCTTGCTGTTCATCTCTAAGTGGGACTGCCACATGAAGAAACAGATTTTAGCACAATCAATGACTGTTTCTTTCAGGAATGTCAGAAAGGATTTAGAACTTCTAGTGAGCTCACTATCCACAAGGCCATTCACGTGGAAGTCAAGCAATTCAAGTGTGAATTCTGTGGAAAAGAGTTTAGGACCAAAGGATGTATCAAGTCACATATCAAGTATCACATTGGTGAGAATTAGATTTTTTGTTTAGTATCAACTCTCCCCTCAAGCTGCTACATAATTTTTTGTTTATTGGTTTTGAGAATTTGGTGTTAGATCAAGATAACAACTTCTACCTGATAAGTTTGAGTATTCTCATCACCTGTTTGCTGGATAATCTGTAGATATTATAGGGAGAAGTTTCCTGTTCATCACTTCTGGACATTGAAGGGTTTAACTTAATAATTGATACATATAACTATTTATGAAAGTGTGATTGTTGACTGAGAGTGGTTCTTATTAAGTGTGACCGCTGGAATTCACTGAAAATACATGTTCAAGGAAAAATTTTCTCTTTCAGCTTCATTGAAAGGGCATCATAAAATATTTACAACTGCTAGTTTGTAGCATGTATCACCATCGGTTTTGAAATAAACAAAGTCAAGTAACAATAGCATATTGAGTTTGTATCAATGACATATGAAGATGGTAGAACTTGAAACTGGGATATTAAGGTTACCATGCACCTTCAGGGGTGTCTTGTGTGCAAGCGATGTAGCGTGTCCAGTTTAAACTGTAGATATCTAAAGTCCTATATCAAATTAAAGCTGATAGGACTTGCTATTAGACTACGTATACCAAAAATTTTGAAAAAAAATTAATTGTTGAATTTTTCACGACTTCTAAATGCGTGCGCCCGAATCACCTTTTAAGAGATACAAGTCAAAAGGAATTTGTTCAATTGCTCTCAAATTTTAACAGTAGCTAGTTTTACATATTAAACAACAAAAACGTGTCTCCGAATTTTTTATTTCTAAATACTTGTTTTTCAAGAGTGATTTTTGTACAATCTCTCCACATTTTTGTAATCCTATTTCAAAATGTTCTGTTACTTTTCACTGAAATTGAATATGGCAAATTGCAGACACGTTTTTTTTTGTAGCGCTTTGGCCCCGGAAACGGAGGAACACATTAAATAACCAAAAAACAAAATTAGCTTTAACATGTAACATTTAAAAGGTGATTCGGGCACTCGCATTTAGAAGTTGTGAAAAATTCGACAATTCATTTTTTTAAAAAAATTTTGGTAAAGTCTGATGGCCAGTCCTATAAGCTTTAATTTGATATAGGGGTTTAGATATCTACAGTTTGAACTGGACGTGCTACATCACTTGCACGCGAGACACTCCTGAAGGTGCACGGTAACCATAACATCTGTAGTGGTGGTCTTTCAACTTAGGGTGACTCAGATGGTCTTTAAACCCTCATATCCCTAAAAGTGACTGGCTTCTAATTTCTCCTTGGATTATTACCCTTGAATCAAATGAAATTGCTATGAGAATAAAGGGGCTGATCATTAATTTAGCAAGCTCCTGATTGTTGGTTCTAGAGGAAATTTAAAGGAAACAGTCTCATTTAAGAATTTTATTAAGGGTTGATGGTCGCTTATGTTTCCAGCTGTAAATTCAGAGAATATTTGGAATCACTGATCATCCAATCTGCTTGATCCTTCTTTGTTTTTTAAGGAGACAAAAGGCACAAGTGTACAGAGTGTGGCAGGGCATTTGTCAAAAGTGCAGATCTCAAACGACATATGGCAGGTCACAGAAATGAGAAGAAGTTTGTGTGCGATGACTGTGGCTCAGCCTTCACACGTCGAGATAACTTAAAAGCACATAGACTCCTGCATACCAGGGAATCTGTGGTTACATGTGACTTGTGTTCCAAGGAGTTCATCAATGCAGTTTACTTGAAGAGACATATGCACATACACAAGCAGGCTAAGAAGAAACCTTATGAGTAAGTACTGTCAGGTTTATGCAGTTGTAGTGAACATCTAAGAATTGAGATTTCGTGTGAAGTATTATGAGAACAATGAGGACAGTACAGCCCATGCAATTGCTGATACAAGTAATTTAACCATTAAATGTTTCAGGTGCTTGAGATAATTTTCAAAATAATAAGATGTGACAGCAATATGTATACTCTATGGTCTTTTTAAATATGACAACAAGGTCACTTGGCTTGTATGCACACAATTTTTCTACTGGTAAGTTATTTCATGAGTTATAGTGTAACACACAAATGATGCATTTGTACTAAAAATTCAAGTGAACATGCATTACAAAACTTCCTTGTGGTATTGATAGCAAATTTTGATGTTCACATAGATGTTTAGTGAAGCAGTTTAAAATGATCTTAAAAACAAGGCTCTTATTATTGTAATGGAAAAGTAACCTGAAATCACAGAAGGACCTAAATATGTTCATGAAGTTGTTCTGTAGTCCCCACAGATAAGTTAAAGAATAAGTAACTGAATAAAGAAGTGAGAAAATTGTTAAATGAATATGTAAGTGGTTGAAACTGTGTGAGTATTTGGAAAATTACACGACTTGAAATTTTTTCCACATTTTGTGCTTTACTTATCCAGGTGTCAGTGGTGTCCAAAGACATATGAACAGTTGGAGGGATTGAGACGACACATTAGACAACATGTTGGGGATGAAAAATTTGTTTGTAAAGATTGTGGAAAAAAGTTTATTACCAGTATCCAACTTAAACGACATCTTTGGCTCTCACATGATCAAGACAGTCCTTACAGAAGATCCATTTTGTAGAGAATGTGGATATGAACTTCATGGATAGATACTTAGTAATTTTTGGAATTTATCACAAGCACATCAAGATACACCATTGGACTAAAAGAAAGAGTAATTTGATAATAGTGATAACTTACTGTTTTGCATTAACTTTGAAACCCTTTGCAGAGGTTATCACAGTGTTACAAATTTGTGTTTTTCTTACCTAGTAAGTAGTGCAAAAAATGGACCAAAAATTGAAGTCTCTTAGGAGGGTTTTATCAACTCAGTACATCTGCATCCTCTGGTATAATGCTTTTTATTAAAAACTGGATCATTAGATAATGCAATTCAAGACTTTTTGTT